CTAACAAAGAAAAGTTTACAGTTAAACAATCAAATGCAATGAAAATCGTAACATGGTTGAGGACTAAATAATAGGACAGAGAAAACATAATTAAACAAATAACAAACAGTAAACGTAGAAACGAGTAAGCAAATATATAATTATATAAATGATATATTTTACGACATTTTTGGGTGATTTTACCTTTTTAATTAAAGTGGGCTTATCAATATAGACATCTCCTTTAATTCTTAAAATATCAATTATTTGTTAGTAATTTGGTGAGTGTTTTCAGCCCCTTCTGGAGCCATTTGAGCACAATTTTAGCCAAAACAGCTCCATCAATAAGGCTTTTTTTCCACCCGCTGTTAAGACCCTTTTCAGCTCTTGGGTACAAATCAGCCCTAGGTAATTGGACCGTATAGGCCCTGATTAAGGAAGCCAAATAAGTGTCAGAAAAATAGGGGTCCAATTAAATAAGAGGTTCTGAAGAGCTGTTAGGTTACACTCATTTCTTTTTATAAAAAATATATTTTATAAGAATATCGAGGCTGAAATTTGCCAAATTTTAAGAATAAACCCGAGACTGAGATTTTGAAAAGGATATAATTTCAAATCATTTGTATTTGAAAATCTGTAAATACATTACAGGTAATATATGTTTTTTTTACTAATAACCGTATAAAATTATTCCTTTCCGCTAAACCTTCACTCTGCGCCCCAATACATTCTAAAGCGGGATGCCATAAGCCATAATGTAAGAATAATACAAGAATATTTTTAACCCAGCTAATCGGCAGAAAATTTACACAACAATGTTCCGCCTGGACCTGAAAAACAACTTTCTTTTAAAAAGAAAAGATTGCACATTCAATGTTGTTTTGAACTGAAAGGCTTTTTATACACCAAGCAGTGATGTTTTATATATAAGATTATAGCCGATGTCGGAATTGTCCTCTACAATCTCCCTCGCGGCATATAAATCACCTTCGTTTTTTGACAGGTGAGAGTACAGTAAACGTAAAAAGGCAGAGACGAGCTTTCGAAAACAAGGCGAAAGACAGTGATACAGGTCGGGAACATTCACAAAACCGACGACGTGCTCCATACAACCGGACAGGTAATGGGACTACACTAAGAGGGGATAAAGGGGACAGAGAAGGCATCCCCCATACACACCCTATTCCCTAGGTAATTCGTCTCGAGTTATTTTTAAGACCACAGATCCCAAAGGGGATTAGAAAACAGCCAATCACATAGTGCGAAAAAGTGTTCCTCGTGGATGACCCGCGCTCAGAGCCACGCGTCTTTCACGAATTGACGCAGAACAAAATGGCGGAATACGCGGAGAGCGATATTGCTATTCGTATTTTAAACGAAAACGACCGCAGAGAGATTTCTGCTAAAGCTGTGTCAGCGAAACGGAAATTAAAAAACAATCGCCCTTCCTGGCTTGTTTCTAAGCATGGTTACGACGTTGATTCGAGCGAAGCTGAGAGTTCTAGCGAAGAAGATGAAAAAGTCAGTGCAAGCGAGGAGGAAGCTGTAACCGAAACGGAGAGTGCCAATGAAATACAAGAAAACGTAGAAAGCTCCTATTCCGATGATAGTTCAGCAGATGAAGCGAAGAGGAG